ATCTGGTTTTCATATCCTAGAGTTAGAAATATATTCTATACTCCCCCTTAACATCATCCTGTCCTCCTACTCAGCAGGACAAAAGTCTAACTGGAAAAAAAATGTTTTAAAGTATCTCTTAAACACTTTCATGTAGTCAGCATTAGAATTTTAAGGGAGGGAGGTGCATGAGAATTTTCACTCTTCAGTCTTTCCTGTTCTCCAGACTACTTTAAATGTGTCTGATCTGACTGAATTGAGGAAGCTGTAAATTTCAATTGGTAAATACCAGTCCAGACAGTATATCTGAACTCGACCTTATTGTTGCCTATTATTGGCTTTCCACATAAATTGAAAATTTCTGTCTATATTTAAGGGTTCTGGGAGTCATTTGGTGTATACTTAATTCTTAAGATAGTTATCAATCTTGGTTTAACATAGCCCTTTTTGTGGCCAAACCTCTAAAATGTTTTCATTTCAGTAGTGAGGGCAGAGAAAAGATTTATTAAGGAAGATCCTATTTAGAGAAACAATTTAGTGATTAAAAGGCCAGAATAACTTCTTTCCTCTCCCAATCCTACCTAGCCCCACAAAATTTCCTAGTTCAATTAACATGTTTTGTTTTTTTCACTTCAGGTACCTCTTTACTAACTAGAGATAGAAATTATAATGTGAAACAGTTATAAATGTGAGATTGAGTAGAGTACCAGTCTGGTAAAATAACAAAAATCAATCCATATGTTGCCTCTACCTGATTTAGCTTTTCTTTTCATTTGAGCAATTCAACACGAATTGAAACCAGGTTTTCCTGTGGAAAGTTTCAGCTTGACTGGGGGATAATAGTTGAGTTCTTTCTTGAAACTCTTGGTCAGTGTTTATTTTTATATTGTGTCTCAACAAGATTAGGATGTCTTTAGTTTGAATCTGCCTAATGTTCACTGCCAAACATCTTCTCATTTAATGCATATGGCCGTCACACTTCTGTATAATAAAAATCAATTCTTGGCTCTCTGGTCTTTCTGTGCAGTTTTACAACTTTAGTTATTTTACTTGGAAATAAGAACTTCCTGCATAAGGCTAGTAATGCTTCCACTTTACACTGCATACCAGATTCTGTCTCATCTTATTTCATCCTTAGCATTGTAGCAGGTGTAAGCTGGTGGCCAGGACATATCAAAGCTACACTGAATACCAACTAATGTAAAAAGTCTTAAGAGTATCTCCATCTCAATGAAAATGACAATTAACTAATTTTACCATTATTTCCATGAGAAGAATGAGTATATGATCTCCTATTAATATCTACTTAAAAATTAATTATTTTTTAAGTAGCTATTAATAGGAGATCATATACTTGAATCCTGGTGTGGCGCTGTGGGTTAATGCACCAGACTGCAAAGCTGTTTGAACCAGAATCGACTCAATGGCACTTCACAACACAACAATATCTACTTACAAATAATGCTTGAATTTATCTAAGAGCTAAGAAGTCTTCAGCTCTAAATGTAGGTAGCGTGCCTAACTATAATAGAATTCACAAAATACAAAAAGGAAATTATACTGGTAAACTACAGTTGGCTTGTTGTCCTTTCCTTATTTAGAATGACTATGTAATGTAGTTAGTTACTATGTAAATGTAGTTAGAATGACTATGTTGTTGTTATTTATTTTTATTTAAGACAAAGCACTATTCCCATAAGTCATCCTTTAGTGTGGTACAAAGACCACCTGCACTAGAATCACCTGCTCTGGGAATAACAAGGAGGAAAGAAAGGGAATCTTGCTAAAATGTAGGTTCCTAGTAAATCAGTGCCAGATTAGGGGTTTAGGAAACTGTCATTTAAGCAAATTTTTTTTTAAAGCTTACACGTTAAAATTTGAGAACACTATTATAATTGCTGATTATCACAATAATATATTCTGTTGGCTGTACCTTCAAAACAGATTCCACATCAAAACATTTTCACTTTCTCAGTGGCTACTACACTATCTCGTATCTAAACTGTTGTAAAAGACTAATTGGTTTCCTGCTATTGCTTCCACTCTTGGCCTTTACATAGTAGCCAGAGTGTTTAATTTAACACCTAAATTCATCTTGTGTCACTTCCCTACTCAGTACCATCTAAGGACTGTTCATCACAAAAAAATAAAATCAAAAGTCCTTACCATGGCTTAAAAAGCCAAAATTGATCAGATCCTTGCCTGTGTTACTCTTACTCTGGTTCTAGTTTGTAATTTCTGAGGTAACACCAAAAATATACTACTGCGTTAGGAGCTTTGCATTTGCAATTTTCCTCCAGATAACTGCTTGGCTCACTCACTACCCCATTCAGGTCTCTGCTCAAATATCACCTAATCACCCTACCTAAAGCACCATCTCCTCGTACCCAGTTAAAAACAGAATAATTTCTAAACACAGCTATGCCTTAGCTATTCTTCTAGTTTTTGTGAAGCCCTACTCTTTTTCTAATCAAAAGATGATCATACTTATCTGCATCTTTCCTAATGCTCAGTAATTTAGCTATATCAAGGATAAATGTACAAATAAGTCATCACCTTAGCAATCGTAGTTTTTATACATTACTTTTCAGCAGAGCTTAGAATTAGGAGCTTGTGGCAAAAGTGTTTTCCAAAAGAATTTGATCATCTTTTAGAGATTTAATCTCTGAAGTATATTCAGAATATATTTTCACTATAATGGCTCAAACTTACATGCAACCAATTGTTTCCACTTTCCCCATATGACCTAGCTTAAACTTAACTGTCTTCTATCACTTTCCTAGATCCAACTGGACCATATATTCAAATAACTAGTTATCAGATTCTGTCAGTTTTTAATATCCTTCATCCTTCTATGCCCCTCGATTCCCACTGGCACTGCCCCTAGTCAGTAAGTCAAAACTTGAGTCATTAGATCTTGGAAATGTAGCAATGGCTGGTTTTCTGACCGAAAGTATGAACATCATTTTCTATACTCTTTTATTATCCATTCACTTTCCTGAAGGAGGTGAAACTTAAGCAAAAGGATTTTTGTGTGTTTATTTGTTTTTTATCATTATTAATGTTAGGTTACACCTTTTATTTATATATATATAGAGAGAGAGAGAGAGAAAAGTACACATATCATAAGTGCTGTTGTTATGTGCCGTTGAGTTGGTTCCCACTCATAGCAACTCTGTATAGGGTTTCTGAGGAACTGCTAATGGGTTTGAACTGCCAGCTTTGTGGCTCACAGTCCAGTGCTGATCCTACAGCACCACACCAGGAATCCCATAAGTCCCATACAGTTCAAGTACTTTTCATAAACTGAATATACATGTAATCACACCACAGTTAAGACTACCACCTGAGAAATGCCCCTGAAGCTCCCTTCCAGTCTCTACCCTCCAAGGGTAGCTGCTCTGCTTTCTAATAACGCTGATTACCTTTTACCTTAACAGGATTTGTGGAGATAAGTGGAAAAAGCTTAGGTGGAAGAACATTTGAAATCTTGCAAGTCTGAAATGAAAAAGAAAAGGACTTGGAAAGGAGAGGTCCATCCAATACAAAAAGAAGAAGAGAAGAAAGGGGAAAGCAGGAGAGAAGGAAAGGAAGAAGGAAGGGCAAGATCCTGTCACCTGGTTGGCTGCCCAAGAACCAAACGATGACACTTCTCAGGCTTGCCTTCTCTCACCCTGCCCCACCAACTCCCCACATCCTCCACCTTCTTGCCCCCTCTCCTGCAAAACTTTTCCTACCCCAAAATTACTTCTAAGTGGAGAGGTCAGTCTTGCGTTTGACATGATTTTAAGGGTGGAAATCATGCACTAAATCTTTCTCACAAATCTACTGATGGCACATTTCATTAGTGATCTTTGAGGTTAATAATTATCCTCTTTTGATTTGTATTTTAAAAAACAAATACTACAAAAAGGAGTAAACTGCTTTCACAGTACATGACATATAATAGGTTTTGGTGTGGCGCTCCGGTTAATGAGATAAACTTTGACATGTTACTATTTTATAAGTATGAGTTATGATTTTACTTTTTAAAAAAGTATCTTGAACACTATATTCTGCTGTAGATACTTAGTACGTAGGTGGAGTCCTCAGGTTAATGCTCTGGACTGCAGTCAGTTTGAACCACTAGGTCAATGGTTCAAACCCACCAGCTGCTCCTTGGAAACCTATATAAGGTCACTATGAAATGGAATGGACTCCAAGCCACTTGGGGAGCACAGTGGTTGTGTAGGAAAAATACAACTGCAAACCACAAGGTTGGCAGTTCAAGGCCACCAGATGCTCCATCAGATAAAGATGAGGCTTTCTGTTCCTATAAGATTTCAAACCTCAGAAACCCTCTTCAGGGTCACTATGAACTGGAAGTGACCCAAAGGCACTTAACAAAAAAAAATAAATTTTCTTTCATTGATTTTTCTCTAGGTCCTTCCCTGGGCCAGTGTTTCACAATGTCTAACTTAATTGGGAGTGCGATAGTTCTGCAGGCTAAGCATTGGACTGTGAGCCACAAGGTTGGCAGTTGGAGCCCACTAGCAATTCTGCTGGAGAAAGATGAGGCTTTCTGCTCCAGCAAAGATTTTTAAAGCCTTGGAAACCCTTTATAGGGTCCTGATGAATCGGAAGCAGATTGACAGCACTTAATAACTGTTCATTGGAGTCTTGGGTATGGCGCTGTGGGTTAATGCCCTAGACTGCAAAGCCGTTTGAACTGCAAGGTCGGCAGTTCAAGCTCACCAGCCGCTTCTTGGAAACCCTATACAGGGTCGGAACCTACTCGATGGCACTTAACAACAACAGAAACAACTGTTAATTAGGGGACCTGGTGTGGCGCTGTAGGATAAGCATTGGACTGCTCAGTATAAGCTCAGCAGTTCAAGCCCACTAGCTTCCTTGGAAATCCTATAAAGGATTGCTATGAATCGGAACCAACTGCATAGCACTTAGCTGTTAAAGCTGATCTGATTACTTAAGTACAAGTTTAAAATGTCAGCTGATAATGTTTTTCTGGACTCCTGGTGTGGTGCTGTAGGATAAGCACTAGACAGTTAACCACAAGGTTGGCAGTTCAAACCCACCAGCTGCTCCTCGGAAACCCAATACAGGGTCACTATGAGTTGGAACCTAGTCCACAGCACTTAATAACAACAAAATGTTGCTCTGGTATCATATTTGTATTTTAACGAAAATTTCAATTCTATGGAAAACAAAAGTGAGATATTTATGGTAAGAGGCTTTTCTGCTGTCAGAGAAAATTGTAGAAGACTGAACTGAGTAAAAAGATGATTGGACTTAGAAGAACTTTTGGAGTTAGCTATACATACTATAGGTTAATGCTCTGGACTGCAATATCAATTTGAAATGCAAAGTCAGTGATTCAAGCTCACCAACTGCTCTTCAGAAACCCTATGCAGGGTGGCTATGGGGCTGAACTGACTCTAGGGCACTTAACAACAACAACAAAAAAATACTTTTCATTAAACTATTTTATAATTTTGTAAGTTGAGAAAACTGTTGGCAATACAAGTGATTCTTGTACATAGAGATGCAAATTAATTTTGTCCAGTGAGATGCAATTCATTTTCAACCCGTGGAAGAAATTATTCTAAATACTGCATTTTATGCTTTGTGGCTATTGACCAGTTTTGCATCAATTAACAAATTATTTTTAGCATTCCTAATTGCCTGTTGTATGTGTGTGTTTAGTCTTCTTTCCACCAGTTTTTAACATCTGGCTGGTTCCTTTGTTAATGAGATAAACTTTGACATGTTACTTTTATGAGTTATGATTTTACTTTTTTCTTAAAAAAAAGTATCTTGAACACTATACTATTGTAGACACTTAGTATGTAGGTGGAGTTCTCAGGTTAATGTGCTGGACTGCAGTCAGTTTGAACCTCAAGGTCAGTGGTTCAAGATCACCAGCCACTACTCGGAAACCCTATGGGGTCACTATTAGAACCCTGACTGCACTGCACTTAACAACAGCAGTACATATATATTTCCTTGGAGTCCTGGTGTGCTGTAGGATAAAGCACTCAACAGTTAAGATTGGTTTGAATTGCAAAGTCAGCAGTTCAAAGTCACCAGCCTCTCCTTGGAAACCCTGTACAGGTTTGCTATGAGTCGGTCAGAACCAACTTGACAGCACTTTACAACAATAGGTACTTCCCGGTAGTGGTGGTGGTTGTGTGCCACGGAGTGGTTTCTTCCTCATGGTAACCCTTTAATAGGATTTCGGAGGCTGTAAGTCTACTGAGCAGAAAACCTCATCTTCTTCCTGCTGATAGATTCCAACTGGGTTAGCAGCCCAACTCATAATAACTACACTACCAGGGCTCCTTAGGTGCTTCCATTGTTGTTAAGTGCTTTGGAGTTGGTTCTGACGCCTGTACAGGGTTTTCAAGGAGCGGCTGGTGGGTTTGAACCACTCACCTTGAGGTTAGCAGCCCAGTGCTTATCCTACAGCGCCACACCAGGGCTCCTTCTTGTTAGGTGCCATGTAGTCGATACCCACTCATAGTGACTTTATGCACAGCAGAACGAAATACTGCCTGATCCTGGGCCAACCTCATTACTGTTGCCACACTTGAGTCCATGGATGCCGCCACCTGACCAATCCATCTCGTTGAGGGTCTTCCTCTTTTTCTCTGACCCTCCACCTTATCAAATATTATATCCTTCTCCAGCAACTGGTCCCTCCTGAAAATATGTCCAAAGTATGAGAGACGAAGTTTGGTCATCTTGGCCTCCAAGGAGCACTCTGGCAGCACTTCTTCCGAAACGGATCTGTTGGTTCTACGGGCAGCCCATGGTAGTTTCAATATTCTCCTCCAACACCATAACTCAAAAGCATCAATTCTTCTACGGTATTAAAAGCATCAATTCTACGGTCTTCCTTATTCACTGTCCAGCTTTCGCATGCATATGAGGTGATTGAAAATACCATGGCTTGAGTCAGGCGCACCTTAGTTCTCAAGGAGCCCTTCATATAACCCAGTTTCTCGGATTGTATGCTGAGCAAATAATCCAAGAAGGTGGGTTATATGAAGGGCTCCTTGTTGCTATGTGCCGTGGAGTCGGTTCCGACCCATAGCGACCCTGATCAGGGTTTCCGAGGCTGTAAATCTTTACGGGAGCAGAAAGCCTTGTTCTCCCGTGGAGCAGCTGGTAGTTTCCAACTGCTCACCTTGTGATTCGCAGCCCGATTCGTAACCACTACGCTACCAGAGCTCCTTAGACATCACTTAAAACCAGTTCTGAGAGTAAATTCGTAAAGGAGACGACTACGGGACCAAAACCAAACATAGTGCCAAAAGTGGATTTACAGTTATAGCGACCCTATAGGTCAGCATCTAACGGCTCCTTTTGGGGTTTCTGAGGCTATAAATCTTTACTGTAGCAGACAAACTCATCTTTCTCCTGCAACTACTGGACATAACTTGCTCAGTTTGCTGGTGTTCTCAAGTATGAACCATCAGAGGGTGCTAATGGCATGTCTTTTTGTTAAGTGTCCTCGAGTCACTTTCCACTCAAAGCGACCCTATTGTGTATAGAGTTTGCGAGGAGCGCCTGGTTAATTCAAACTGACCTTTAGGTCCAGTGATTACCCTACAGTGTCACACCAGCTAATTCTGCAGTCACATTTCTTTTTTAATGGTCATTCTTTTGTAGAATGTGCTTGAGTACTAATAAATTTTAGTGTTTATAACCAGACATTTCGTCTCATACTCTGGATGGATTTAGGTTTACAGCCACTGACTCTTCATCTGGCAATCAGCAAAACTCCACCCCTCCAGTCCGTGGAACCGAAGGAAGTCTGAGCCCACCTAAGCAGCAAAAATACCAAAGCCTGCACCCGCCTCCTAAAGTGTCTTCCAATTGGTCCTTGTCGCTCATTCTCTTTACAGATTGGTGTTTTAGCTTGCCAGTCACTTTTACAGAACCCACCTCCGGCCCGCGACTATTAGTAGATCTTTACGTCACTGCCCTCTCTACTCTACTCCCATTGGCTTCTGTAGGAAGGGGCGGTCGCAACGTCACGGGGAAGGGTCGCCATTTTGACCGAACAACCCTAGTGACAGGAGCCGGAGCAGCAGCGCAGCTTATCCCCCGTTTCCCCTCCCCCTTCCCTTCACCGGTGGACTTCCCGGGCCCTTTACACTCCAGGTCCCGGTCCCGCCATGTCCCAGAAACAGGAAGAGGAGAACCCTTCGGAGGAGACCGGCGAGGAGAAGCAGGTGAAATGGAGGGGGTGCGGGCTGGTGAGCCGGGCGACCGTGATGGGGCGGGAGACGGTATCCCAGCATTGCGGATTGGTCGCCATAGTCTCTGAGTCTGCAGGGGTTGGTTACTTCGTGCGTCGCTCAGGGTGAGCTTCAACATGGCCTGCTGTTGTAGTGCTGGTTAGTTGAGTCGATTGTCAGTCAGTGCCGTACCTTTCTTGATTGGCCAACAGGCCTACCGCTCAAATCGTTGATGCTGTGCTGTAATTGGCTGAGCTTGGGTGCGGGGCGGTGTTTGGATAGACTAGGAGAATGAAGGGGGTTAGATGCAGGCTCAGTTGGTGGGCCTGGGTTACCCTGTGAGTTATTGATTAGTACGGGTCTTTAATGATTTGCTGGGGCCCGCATCGTCAATCCGCAGTAAGGTACGGATCAAGGTAAAGATTTTTATAAAACGACCAGCGCTGTGGTATGGAAGAAGAGTAATTGAAATGGCTAGTTTAAGGTGACAATTTCCATAGGAGACTTATTTTGACTGCTAAAGAGATAGTTGTCCACCTTCACTGCAGACCGAACAAGACTGAAAGGATGAAAATTCCAAACAGAATAATGGAGCTTAAACAAAAAAGACCGAAAAATTAGTGATTTAAAAAAAACAGCACTGTATTCCCCCCCAGACTTCCTAGACAGTGTGACTTAGTCCACCCACGATTTTGTGATGAAAGCATTAACGCCAAAGAAACCTCTTCTAGCACCTTGTATTTGTCTTCATTTAGTACTGGGCACAAGGACTGGTAAAATACACGTAATAAAAAACAAAAATTAGCTTAAGAGTCTTTTCAAAAAATCAACTAGTGAAAAAGGCAACTGAGCCCACAAAAAGCAAGAATGAGCTCCCCACAGCAACAGTGAGAGCCTTGCAAGCCAGTTCAACCCTTGGCATGTTTCCCAGACTTCCATCATTTTCTCCTCTATGAAAGGTGTTAATTTTTTGGTGAATATACTTTTTTTTAATTTTAAATTTTTTTAATACCTTAATTTTTCCGAGGTTAAAGACTATTGTCTTTTTTGTCTTTGTTTACCTATCACTTTCCTATTACAGTGTTCATGGAAATGTTGGAACTGTGATGGTCCCATTACTCTGGTGGAGATCTTTAGAGAGGGCCACATACTGTCCTCAACTGAGAGACTTAGCAGATGGCTCTCTTAGACTCTGAATGAGAAGGGAAGGTCTCAGCAGAATTACCCCCCTTGATTTCCTATTTGATCTGTACTACTCATGAGGGACAGCCTCAAATCCTGTATCACCAGAAGCCCTAGCTAGTTTTTTTGTTTGTTGTTTTTTTTTAAGCGTCTTACCTAGCTTCTGTGCTAATGATTGGCCTGCTCTGTGGTTAAAGTATTGTGTTTGTTGGTATTACCTTTAACCCACTACTCCTAGATAACTAGGGTGGATCCCTTGTCTTTGCCTTCTCACAGTAGTCATCTTGAGCTTTGGAATTTGAACAAAGGTCTAGCTTTAGGGATTGAGTAGAGATGGCAAGTTTAGGGTGGAGCGCCAAATAAAGGTGATAATATAAGAGTACTCTGATATGATATTAGAAGCAGTTGCTTCTCCATCTGTAATTTTATTTTGGCCTATTTGTTTCTTCCAGGACACGCAGGAGAAGGAAGGTATTCTCCCTGAAAGAGCCGAGGAGGCAAAGTTAAAGGCCAAATATCCAAGCCTAGGACAAAAGCCTGGAGGCTCTGACTTCCTCATGAAGAGACTCCAGAAAGGGGTATGGTCACAATCTCTTACTCTTTGCAGCCTAAGGGTATGCTGAAGATGAATCTGTAGAGGTTCCACTGGATGATGATCAGGAAGATTTGTTGCTAGGCAAGCATTTGCCTATTTGGATGATGGGGGTGGGAGTTTAGGACTGTGTTTTTGTTTTGTTTTTTTTAAATTAGTATTAGAAGTGGGAGCACATCATTTCCAAAAAAGAGCAAGTCATCTGTCCTACAGAAATCACCAGCTTGCAATGAATAGTAGATTTCTGCAGACCCTCAAAGCTACGTATCAGCAGCCATTAACTATATTCTCTCAAGAGGCTTATTTTCTTTCTGTCCAAGGTGGTTGGTTCTTCTCAGTATGAGCGAGGCTACCTTCATAGCCCTCTAGCTTCTGATCAGATTCTCTGTGCCTAGAGTTACCTCAAGCTGACAGAGGAATTGTAAGGCATTCAACTGGAGAGTTCCTCAGTGTGGATGAAAATGGAGAGTGAAGCAGATCCCTGTGGAGAATCCCAGTTACTGAGTCTTAGTCACCGAGGATGATAGGATGCCAGCTTGCAGCTTACCTTGCTGCAGGCAAGGCAGGCGTGGGCAGGCTGTCACAGCCATGGAACATGTGTGGGAGCAGTGGGAGTCAGAGGGAAAGCACAATGTCCTCATGAACAAGCTCAATCACTATTTCTGGTCTGAGAGAATCACTTTTAATTTTGAAGTTATTGGCTGAAGGTTGATCTGATGATTGCTAAGCCAGCCTCAGAAAAATCCATTTACATATATTATTCATTTCTCTTTGCCCAAGTAAATATCCAAGTCTAGGACAAAAGCCTGGAGGCTCTACTTCCTCATGAAGAGACTCCAGAAAGGGAGTAATACATAGTAGATCCTTTATGAATAAAGTCAAGAATTTTTACTTTCTTCTGTATTGTTGTTATGTGCCGTGGAGTCGGTTCCAACTCATAGCAACCCTGTACAGGGTTTCCAAGGCTGTAAATCTTTACAGGAGCAGAAAGCCTCATCTTTCTCCTGCGGAACAGCTGGTAGTTTTGAACTGCTGACCTTGTGGTTCACAGCCCGATTTGTAACCACTACACCACCAGAGCTCCTTCTTCTGTATTAAGATGTACAATATTTACTCTATCTGGGAAACTGCTTCAATACCTGAAAAAATAACGACAGTTGAGGAGAAGACATAAGTACCCACAAGTATTGGTCAGCTATGCATGCTTGAAATTAATCAAGGAAGACCTCTCTAAAGGTTTGAGTGTAGATGAGGATTTATAATGGATGTGAATCTCCTTGCTTTTCAGGAAGGCCAGAACTCCCCACTCACTTAAACTTCCTTCTTGTCTCTTAGCAAAAGTACTTTGACTCAGGAGACTACAACATGGCCAAAGCCAAGATGAAGAATAAGCAGCTGCCTAGTGCAGGACCAGACAAGAACCTGGTGACTGGTGACCACATCCCCACCCCACAGGATCTGCCCCAGAGAAAGTCCTCGCTCGTCACCAGCAAGCTTGCGGGGTAACCTGGGCCCCCTCTCCTCCCCTTCCTCACCCACTGGACTTTTATATATATTGTAGGCAGGGATGGAATGGGCAGTTAGATCTTCTCAGATGGTTAGCCAGAGATAACTATAGTTCTGCTGGGGCTGCTGAGAAGTTAATGTGGGTTGAAGAGGGGCTCTGAGTTCATTTCTTTGGTTAAACTGAGATTTTCATACCCTCACTGCAGCCCAGGTAGGGGCCCAGAAATAGAAAAGACTAGGGCTGAATAATGCTGCAAGCTCTCTCTTTTTCTTTTGTATGAAAAACTAGGGAGCTATGACTTCTCCTTTTGGAAGAAAATATCCCAAAATTGGTTAGGCTGAGCTTTGGGAATAATATATCAGGTCTAACATCTCAAGGCTAACCTGACAGAATTAGGAAGGGTAGATAGATATGTTTTCTGTGCTCCTAAATGTTTTGTCCCTTAGGCTACTGTTGCTTCATGTTTCCATTATGGCAGGTTTGAAGAATTCTCAAAAAAAAAACTGATTTGCTTGCTTAAAACTACAATGCCCGCTTAACCTCCTTTTACTCAGTATCTCTTAGAGTTTGCTTTGGCTCTCAAATAATGTACAGATTGGTGAATATTATTCATAGAAATTGGGCACCTTCTCTCTCCCTTCTAGAATGGTTTTGGAAAGATACTGTGGGATAGTGGAAATTGCACTCATTTAGGAATCAAGATAACCATATTCTAGTCCTACTCAGTCTTGTAGAACTGCTGTGTGATCTTGGTCAAGTCACTTAAGCCTGTGTGGATTTCTATTTTCTCACTTGTAAAATAGAATTGAAAATATGTAAGATTGATTTGATTCTAAAATCCTATAACTACTAGATGAAAAAACTGCTATTCATTATAAAACTAAAAGTGAAGAGGCCCCATGGGTGAGCTTCTGCCCAGAAAAGTGTTGCAGAGGTAAACCGTTTCAGGGTTAGTTCGTGGGGAGAAAGAAAGTTGAGATTTGGGACCTATAAGTCAGGCAAAAAGACCTCATAGGTGACATGATCGTGAGAGTCAAAGAAAAAGTTTCTTGCCTCTTGCTTCTGTCCCTGCCCACTTTTCCTGGCCTTACATCTGATCCTTTGCTGCTAAAAAGCTGCTATGGCAGCAGATCTGCGGGCCCGGGGAAACTTGTTCAATCATGCACACTTGGAACCCCACATTTCAAATGTAATCAGATGCTAGGTGTGTTGTTTGGGAGAAAGGAAAAGGGATGAACTGGGCTGGCCCCCAGGGCTTACTACTGCTGGGCAGGAACAACAAGTTCTTAAAAGATGATTCACCTTGGAGGAAGCTGGGGGATAGTGGTTAAGGAGGAAAGAAAGGAAGGCACTAAGAGTTCTGCTTCCCAAGACCTTAGTAACCCAACTTTTGGGCAATGCGAAGTAGCAATGCTGATTCATGAACAGGTGGAAAAAAAGGATTTGTGGTTGGCATCGCCAGTTTGGCCAAAATCTTAACTGAATTCAGCTTGCTAGTTCTGGCACAGAGGGCCATGGTGAGAACTACTCAAGACCCCTCTCACCTCACAAGATTCTGACATGCCAAATATTTGGCCTGATGCGAATGCTTGAGTAACTTGCTAGTTTGCATGTGCTTGGGAGTGGGTTGTGGCTGTCTTACTTCTCTCCTGGCTGGTTCCTCAACTTTTCAGGCTGTCATTCGAATTCGATAGGGAAAAGTTGGTGAGGAAGGAATGGAGAGAGCAGGATCCCTGGACTCCCTGGTCCCCAAACTCCTTGATTGTCACTTGTATATAATTTTTGTGTTTCTTGGTCCATTTCCTCATGCTGTCTTCCTTAGTCTAAAGTTTGTGTGGGAAGAGGAAAATGCTGAACATCCTTGTATAGTTTCAACTGTCCCAACCATGTTGTACATAGATATGTCATGTTATTATATATATAAATATATATATAATTTTGTACGTTTTCTTCATCTCCAATCTTCTCGAGTTCTGTACTTTTTTTTCTTTTCTGTCTGAACTACCTTCTCTATTGTCAGCCTGAGTCCTCAAGACTGATGATCACAATGAAGTCTGGTTTTTAGGAAGGAGTGGAAGGAATAGAAAAACTGTTGGTCTCCACCTGGTCATCATCAAGTCTAAGGAAACAAAGAAACAAGCTACATTTCTATTTGCCACCTGTTTCCACAGCATGAAGCTTCCTTAGCAAGGAAGGGTCATTTCAAAAGCCAAATACAAGTTGCTTCGATTAAACCTGGATTACTTTTTTCTCCACCCAAAGCAGCATGTGTGTTGTTTGCCTCTGGCCTCTATGCAGTGACTACCTCATCACTGTGCTGCACCCAATAGTTTTTGCTGCTGCTCAGGGGGGTCATGGCTGTGCCTCTGAAACTGGACCTGTTCCAGGCCAGGAAGTTTACACCTTTGAGAACCTCCAATTATTTTGGGTTTTGTCTTAAGAATTGTTTTTCTTTGTTTTCCATAGATATCTCCAAAAAAGCAGAGAACATTTTGTTTTGTGCATAGGAAAAGATTGAAATTTTCTTTTTCATTTGTTTGTTTGTGTGCAAGTCCCTTATGAATAGAATCGAGGCAAATGCCAGGTAGCTAATGTGTGTTAATTGTGGAAGAGTCAGGGGTTAGGAACTGGGATGGAATTCAGGGCTTTTCCCGTGTTACTTGACAGTGTTTTATTTTGTTCTTCTGTGTTCGTCTGCAGTGGCCAAGTTGAATGATGCTGCCCGGGGCTCCCGCCAGATCCTGAGACGCTGCCCCCCTGGGTCCTGTGCTGGCTCCTGCCCCTCCCTGCTTTTGCAGCCAGGGGTCAGGAGGTGGCTCGGGCGCGGGCTGGAGAGGCAGAAGCCCCTGCCCGTCGGTGTCCCAGCGCATGGAGCCCCTTGGGCTGAGCACCAAGACCTTGAACCTATTTTATTTTACCTTTTTTCCCAAACAACTGTTGGGAGAAATCTCAATGAAATTTTGGGGGTTGGGTTGAGAGGGTGGGTAGGGTTTGGGGGGTTTGAGGGCATATGAATTAGGGCTTGGAGTTGATAAAAACATTCCTATCTTCCTTCTTAAACATATGGCTGGTATGGGGAGAGTGTCAGCAGGAGGAAGTGGAGTGGACTAAAGATGAGGAGTTCTAACTCAGCACTGTAGAAAAAGCCATGTTTGCGTGGATGTGGCTGGGGACCTGGTAGCATGTGAATAAAACTGTCCATGTAAATATGACAGATGCAAACAGCTCCTCTGGTTCTGCAGAGCAAACTGAGAATCTGTTAATTGTTCATAAAAACGTGCTGTCCTCTTAAACTAGATTTGTTGTGGGGAGGGCAGTGAGTATGGGGAAAGGGGGCCATGAGCGTGGGGAGCCCCACAGAGCCCAGGAGGGTTTTTTTTTTTCAGTTATTTAAAAAAAAAAAAAAAAAAAAACGACCCATAAAAAAGAAAAAGAAAACCCTGACCCAGAAATATTCTGAAGCAGTTGGTGTGTTTTATTGGGACATGGGAAATGGGAAGAAAATAAGACTGAAGACCCCATTTAAGGAAGGGACTGGTGTGGGTTCCTGAGTTTCCTAAGGCACAGGGGCCTTTTGTGTGATATAACAGGACTCCTCACTTCCATCACTTAGGTGCAGGGATGTGACTTACATGCCTGGGCAGCCATCCCTAATCCTCAGTCCATTCCTTTGTTGCTCTAGCTAGTGCAAAAGATCCACCAAGCTCAGGTTGTGGCTCACAGAAAGGAATTTAAGGTATTTGACCTTAATGGTTTATTGACATTTTTCCAGTTTGGACAGAAACTGGCCAGCTTAGTCCAAGATAAGTTTTTTTTTTTTTTTTAATTACTATTTTTAAAAGCCCATTTTTCCTTTTCCCTTTCAGGTTTCTATTATACCTTCTCAGCTTCCAGTATTTGTGCAGGAGAAATGTGTGATGCTTTAGGATAAGCACTGGACTGCTAACCAAAAGGCTCTCAGTTCTAACTCACCAGCCACCCCTTATTATGATGGTAGTGTTCATGTGCTACAGAGCCAATTCCGACTCTTAGTCAACCCTATACAGGGTTTCTGAGGTCATAAGTCTTTGTAGGAGCAGAAAGCCTGTCCTGTGAAACAGCTGGTAGTTTTGAACTGCTGTCCTTGAGGTCAGCAGCCCAATTTGTAACCACTGTGCTACCAGAGCTGTGGAAGTTTTATACCAGGTCACTCACTATGAGTCAGAACCAACTCAAAACGGCACTTAACAATAAACCTTAAGGAATGCAAGCCTTTCTGCTTGTAGCCAGCAGGAGGCAGAATAACTTCTCTGCTAATGTCCCAACCTGACAACATTGGAATCCTGACACCAAGAAGTTAAAAGCTGCTTGTGAATTTAAAATACAAAAGAATCTACCAAAAGAGAAACTCATACCTTATCTCTACCCCCCAGCATAATAAATTGAACACACATAGTAGATTGAACTATTTGCCTATTTTACCAGAACTGGATTAGGAAAATTGATGGTGGCATTTCCTCAAAGATGATTAACTTCTCAAATAGTTATGCTTCAAGGAAGATAAAAAGAAATCAGGAAACAGATAACCCAGAAAACTCCGTATATGACTGGGAGGGAGTTACTGTGTAAAGTGGATGATTGTTTTCAGTATATGAGTTTTCTTAATCGGAAGCTTTCTAAATATATTTTCAGTCACTAGGAATGTTACTGGCTTGGCTCTTGGAATAGGATTGTGATGCTGTCTAACCATCTGCTTTCGGAACAGTATATGAGATACTGAGTGAGCCAGGTGATAAGGAGACATACTAAAGGCACTGACTGCCATAGGCTCATTTAGCCTGAAGAAAATAACTAAATTTTAATATTTCAGCATATAAAAGTATTAAATGTTAAAGCTAGGAGAGAGGTTATTTTAATACCTTTTATAAAATAACTTTGTCTCTCCTATCTTAACATAATAAAGTGTTTATTCTTCCTACTTGAGCAAATCCCATGAAATTGAGAATGGTAAGTGTAGAGAATAGTAAGTGTAGTTTACGTTTACTAGGTGGGTACACCTGAGGTCAGTTAGTGCAACCTCATTTTAATACAAGTGAGGAAGCTGAGACTTAGAACATGTAAGGTGGTATAACTAGTTAGTTAAAAAGCTAAAGTTAGTATCTAAAATTTAAATGTTCTCTCATATTCTTGACTTTTCCCATACTTAATCTTTACAAACTGTGGCCTTAAGAATCCTGAGTGCCAGGAAATGTTTGTGGTTATCTGTATTTCAGTTTAAAACTTGCCATTCCTTCTTTACTCCTATACTCTATGGCAGAGATGGGGAATTATTTTTCTGCCAAAATTTATAACATTCATGGACCATACAAAATTATCAACTTAAATATCAGCCTGCTATGTTTGATCATTTAATTAATTCACCCCTAATGTGATGACTGTAGAGCTGGTGTGGCGTTGTAAGTTAATGCAGTGGATTGCAAAGTTGGTTTGAACCACGAGATCAGCGATTCAAGCTTACCAGCAACTCCTCGGAAACCCACTACAGGGTCATTATGGGTTGGGACCAACTTGACAGCACTTAACAATGTGATGACTGCTTGGAAACCCTTTACAGGGTTGCTGTTAGTTTGAACCAATTCAGTGGCACTTGGCAACGATATAGTGGAGGCCTGGTGTGGTGCAGTGGGGTAAAGTGCTAGACTGCAAGGTCAGTTTGAAACACAAGGTCAGTGGTTCAAATTCACCAGCAGCTCTATGGAAACCCTAATCAGGGTCCCTATGAGTTGAAACCAACTCAGTGGTACTTAATAACATGATGGCTGGAACTCTGTGATTACCTTGGCAGAGCCAGACTAAATGATTTCATGGGCTGAACATTCTGAACCTACCCTTGCTCTAGGGCTAGGCAAAACAGACTAATTTTGCAGTGCTGCAAATATGTATCCCTGCCCATTATCCTAGTTAAGTGTTTTCTCAAATCTGTATTCCAAAGAGTCGAGGGTGCTTCCTCTGACATAGGAAATAATTCTGTTAACAGAACTCAGCTGAGCTGTCTGATGTGCAGGTTGTCAGGTAGAATCACGAATGTCCAGTAACATTCATTTTACTTTGGTGTGGCCTAGGGGTGGAAAAGGCAGACATAAGAAAACTCTAAGGATTACCCTGTAGGCTAGACTGACTACAGTGAGAGCCCTGGTGGTACAGTAGTAAAAGTGTGCTTAGCTGCTAACCAAAAAGGGCTGGTTTGGACCCACCAGCAGCTACTTCAGAGAAAGCTCTGGCAGTCTGCTTCCATGAAGATTTAACAGCCTTGGAAACCCTATGGGGCATTTCTTTTCTGCCCTGTAGTCTGTGAGTCAGAAACCACTCAGCAGCAGTATGTTTATGTAGTGAGCCAGCCATCCAGAGAAGAAAATCTGAGTGTGTGGGTGCCCTCTACTGGACCTCGAGGGAGATAGTAAAGAAAAAGATGATCCACTTACCCACAATGGTATACAAATAAAGACAATAATTAAGCAGCATCCTTGGACTCTAGGTGTGGCCTGTAGAGTAAGCACTGGAATGCTAACCGCAAGATCAGCAGTTCAAATCCACCAGCCATTCCTTGGAAACCCTATACTGAGCCCCTATGAGTCAGACTTGTGGCAATTAACAACAACAAACAGCATCCCAAAAGCTAGGGGAATGAGAATCTGGAGATGAGCTGTTAGCTGAATTTTACTAGAAAGAGAAGAATGACTAGCTGATAAGGATGAGTTGAGGCCTCCCAGGCCAGTGCAACAATATTTTAATTCACAAGTAATTGTTTAGCATTCACTTTGGAATGGAAAATACTAGATAATGGGCAGATAAACAATGTAAGACATGGTGTCTGCTTGGAGAAGCTTGTAGCTTCATTGAAACAACATTCATTCATATAATGCAAAGACACCATATGATTTGTCTCAAAAAATATTCTAACTGCCATCAAGTTGATTCCAACTTACAGCAATCCTGTATGAGATTTCTGAGTCTAAATCTTTGCTGGAGCAGAAAACCTCATCTTTCTCCCATGGTGCTGCTGGTGGGTTTGAACTGCTGGCCTTGCAATTAACAGTCCAGTGCTCATCGTACAGCGCCACACTGATACTCCTATGATTTATCAAGGAATGATAGAAGAATTAGAACCTATGTTTTTCAAGAATACACTCTGGCTAGGACCCTATGGGTAAAACAATCATTTGTGAATGAATCTTATTGCAGTGTTATACTTAAGCAGTGGAGATCTAGCCATAGAGAGAAACAGCAATAAAAATAGTTGCTAAATTTTTTTCGTGTTTACTATATATCAAGCTTCATACTAAATGCTTAATTTAAATCATCTCATTTGATTCTCACAACAGTTCTGTGAAGTAAGTACTCTTAATATCTCCATTATGCAAATGAGAAAATTAAGACAAAGCAAGTTGCAAAAGCCTCACTTCACACAGCTTCTGATAGCTGTGACAAGATTCACTCCAGTACCTGCAAAGAGATAAAGGAAAAGAATGGTCAGAAAAGTTCCCAATGAGTAAGTTCTGAAATATGAACAGTACTTGTCCAGAAAGGTAAGATGTAAAAAGGCATTGGTGGAAGGACCAATACTTAAAAATGAGACAGTGTGGATTCTGTGATGTTCTGCAGAATGGATAAGTACAAAAGAGTAGATGGAGAACAGGGCAGAAAGGTATACAGGAGCCAAATTGCAGAGGATATGGTTTACAGATCTAGGGATCACTGGGGATTACAAAGAAGGGTTTGTTCATAACTTTTAGATTATTCATTCTGACAAATAGTGTAAAAGAATTTCAAGGAGATGAGTTTAGATATGGACTGGTTCTAATGTCAGGTTGCCTGGTTTTAAATACAAATTTTAGTATTTTTTTATAGCTCTGGACATGTTTATTAAACTCTCTTTGCCCCCATTTACTTAATTGTAAATAGGAATGGCACATACAGTACTTACCTTTTAAAGAGTTGTGATGATTAAATGAGACAGGGTTCTTGCCCTCAAGGAGTTTGCAGCTTACAGGGAGTTATAAAGATGGATAAGCAGGCAATTCGAATACAAGGAATCAGGGTTAAGATAGAGATAAGCACCAATAATCACCAAATGCTCAGAGAATCACAAAGAGGAACCCACTGAAATTGGTAAGGTTGGTGATCAGTCAGAAAAATCCTTTCATAGAAAGTAGTTCCTAAGCTGATATATGATGAAGAGGTCTTCCAGTGGGAAGGAATAATGGAAAAAAGATTCAGAGGTTTTACATTCCAGAAACTTAAATTGAAAAGTAACTAGCCATATTTGTGCCCATTCCAAAGAAAGATGACCAAACAGAATGCAGAATCATCTTACAATATTGATATCACATGTAAGTAAAATTTTGCAGAAGATAATTCAAAAATGGTTGCAAGATACATCAACAGGGG